GTGTGATTTTCCACTCCTTAGCAATAGTAGTTAGAGTATTGTATTGTACTGTATCGTACAAGTTTATTGTGATTCTAAATGTGCTTGTAATATTATTTAGCTTTATTTAGGATTCTGTTTAGTTGGTAACTTTACTGTATCTTAATGTAGTTTATTTTATTTTTATACGACCATAGAACAACTCACTGTAGTTTGTTTTAATGTTGAATAAATATTATAATATTATTATTATTAAAATCAGTCACAGTACAATAGTGACGTATTGCGCGAAATTGTTGCAAGGACAATACTTTTCTCGATTTGCGTGCTGTCGTGCGTTGATAAAAAATGCACGGAATGGTCGGCAGTATCGATCAAGTTCATCTACTAGTGTGACCTTCATGGCTGGCGAAAAGCAAGATGCCGTATAATCTTTTAAATAGGCGTCAAGGAGGAGTGAAAGGCTGGTACGGCAGCTTACTTGTTTTTGAAGTGTTGCAATTGTTGATTAGTACTCGGTGGTGATTATATTAATGTACAAAAAATAAATTCGTTGAATTGTTATGAAATGCAAGGAAAATTCAACTTAGTTTTATCGTAAGCAAATGATTCCGATTACATGCTAACGCTTCATGCCATACGATATCCGCCATGTTATCCATGCTGACGAGGTGTGTTTATTGACCAGATAGGTCAAGTCGCTAACCAATCAATCAAAATGCTGGATGGTGCCCATGTGCTCAAATTACCATAACATTTAAATATGTTAATGACAGTTCAGCGACCTCATGGTGAAAGCAACACGGAAGATATTTACCGATGTTTTAGTGCGATCTCTTGGCTGCATTTTTCATGGGAAAAAAGGCATGATTTTTTTTTTAATCTGCCCGATTTAGAAAAATGAATAAACGTACCGTCCCAAATAAGAATGTACCGGGTGGAATTTTTCGGGGAAAAAAATACCGGTACATTTATTTGGGACAAGTAGCGTTCTGGGCAAGCTCTCCGAGCAGAGACATATTTTTAACTTCGCATTGGCATGATCAGTGGATTACGTAAATAAACCAACACTTTCAATGAGTACATGCCGACCCAACTAAACTTGAGGACGCATCTCATAGAACAATAGCTGTGGAAATCATAATGTAAATGTTGCGGAAATCAAGCATGGCGATAATGATTTTGAGCGAGGCAGAGTCTGTCAAGCGTCTCAGAGCAACATTGGGCCGACACCACCACGACGTTCGAATCATGGAGAGAGCACTGCAAACCTCTTAAATCACGAGGTAAACTTTCAATTCACACAATACATAATCAATTCCTACAACAATAATAATCAAAGAAAGCTTAGAAAGAACTCTCGTGTGCTGAGAGTATTGGAGACACATTAATTCAAAATTACTTGAACTTGAGATATTGATGGAAATGCAGAAAACTAATTATGCAAATAAGGTAACTAATATGAACACATTTAAGTGTAAAACTAATAAGGTCTGCGCAATGTAAAAGTAATAAGATCTGCGTAATGTAATATCTATGT